AGTGAACACCATGATTCTTAACCAAAAGAGGATGCACAACCCTATAGGCGAGTGCGTAACAAAACAAACGAACAAAGAGAGAAACAAACAAACGTGCACACATAAATACACATTAACACGTAAACACACAAAAAGATGCAAGATGTTATGCGCAGGAGATCGAAGTAAGACAAGGAGATTAAAAGTAGTTCTAAACACCTTGAAGTAAGACGGATTTGTGTCTGCCAAGGGAATTAAGCAGTATAATGAAGTTAGTAAATATGTGGATACGAGTTCATTCCCCTTTTCCGTTTTTGTTGTAGTGGCAGGGATTGTAAAACTTCATTTTTGTTTTGTTTTGATTTTTGTTTTTTAACCTGCTCTCTTGAAGGCAGTAGTTGTGAAATCGTGCAACCCATAGAGCAGAGGGTTTCTAGGAAGAAGACACACAGAAATGTAGCCATTAGCAACCCATGCATCAGGGGGTTTCCAGGAAGAAGACACACAGAAATGTAGCCATTAGCAACCCATGCAGCAGGGGGTTTCCAGGAAGAAGACACACAGAAATGTAGCCATTAGCAACCCATGCAGCAGGGGGTTTCCAGGAAGAAGACACACAGAAATGTAGCTATTAGCAACCCATGCAGCAGGGGGTTTCTAGGAAGAAGACAGAAATGTAGCCCTTAAACAGGCGGAAGAGGAGGAGGTGGAATAGAAATAGGAATAGGAGGAGGAGGAAGTGAAGGAGGAAGAAGAGGAGAATGAAACAGAGAGGGAGCAAGTAACAGGGGAAGGAAGAGGCGAGGAATGAGGAGAAGGAAGAGTAGGGGGAGAATGAAATCTGAGGAGGAACAGGAGGAGAATGAATGGAAGATGACGAAAAGGAGGAGGAAGAGGGAGAAAGATAATGAAAAGGACGAACCGGGGAAGAGGAACATTATTTTTTTTCCTAATCTGGGGTTTTTACACCCCCATTGACACAATTTAGATAATTATTAAGGCAGACTTCTTAACCTGCACGTTGGAGCCAACTTGGGCTAAGGATAGACACAACATCCCAGCAGACAGACCCGGGCTGAGAGGAACAAAACATCCCGGCTGAGAGGGATACAACATCCCAGCAGACAGCGGGCTGAGAAGGATACAACATCCCAGCAGACAGACGCCGACATCCCAGCAGACAGACCCGGGCTGAGAGGGATACAACATCCCAGCAGACAGACCCGGGCTGAGAGGGATACAACATCCCGGCTGAGAGGGATACAACATCCCAGCAGACAGACCCGGGCTGAGAGGGATACAACATGCCAGCAGACAGAACCGGGCTGAGAGGGATACAACATCCCGCAAAAAGACCGAGGTACTCGAGGAGAACAATTCTCCCCATTGGGGAAACCAACTCGGGTGTGCTGCGTGCGACAGCAAAGCACCTAACTGCTACACCACGTATGCCGGGGAGAAGAAGAAGAAGAAGAAGAAGAAGAAGAAGAAGAAGAAGAAGAAGAAGAAGAACAACAACAACAACAACAACAACAACAACAACAACAATAACAACAACAACAACAACAAAGCCACTCACTCACTCACTTAGGCATGGTAGAGAACATCATCAACACCACCACCACCACCACAACCTCCAACAACACCATCACCACCATCACCACCATCACCACCATCACCACCACCACCAACAATAAAGCCACTCACTTGGGCATGGTAGAGAAAATAAACTTGAACTCATCCTCGATGGCCCTCAGAGCAGACTTGTTCCCAGTAAACAGCCCCTGGTCGTTGGGTGGTCCGTTGTTGTCGTTGTAGCGGGGGTTACTCTCCGACACCTCGAACCCGTCAATAAACCGCTTTGATCTCTTCAACCCCGCCCCTGACTCCTCCCACTTGACGCCAGACGTCCCTGACTCCTCCCACTTGACACCAGACGCCCCTGGCTCCTCCCACTTGATACCAGACGCCCCTGGCTCCTCCCACTTGATACCAGACGCCCCTGACTCCTCCCATTTGACACCAGACGCCCCTGGCTCCTCCCATTTGGCGCCAGAACTCCGCCTTTTCCGCTTGCCTGTTAGATAGGGAGTAATAATAATTATCAGCGAAGAGTGAAGAAAGCTGGTGATTTGAACATGGGATACGAGTATGTATTTTTAATAATTAAAACCATAGACTAATATAATGTGAGGCATGCTGACAAAATGAGTAGCTTCTTCCTATTCACAAATGGAGATATTGGCAAAAATCAACCCTAGGGTCGGATTAATAGATTTTCTATTAATGCAATTTTCTTTAAGTATAACATGCCTTTCATTATTTAATACTTATAAATTGTAAAAGCTTAACCTACTTTAAGCGTGATGTATCTATTTCCGCAGGGCTCAAATACGAGAAGCAACTCATTTTGTCAGCACACTTCACTAATACGAGGGCTGTCCCACGGAAAACCGGAAAAGGTCCGTAAAAGCAAAAATCTTTGTCCGATTATAATAAAACTGTAACACATCATACCTCAACATGTGCTTTATTTCTCAATGTTATCACCATCCCGCTGGACACATTTTTCCCATCGCTGGATCTGGGAGGAGATGCCCTCCCTGAAGAATCTTTTGTCAAGGGATTTCAACCAATCGCTCACGGCTTCCACGAGGTCTTCGTCGTCAGTGAATCGCTGTCCATAAATATGGCGTTTCATTGATTCAAAAAGGTGATAATCTGACAGGACCAAGTCAGGACTGTGAGGGGATGCGGCGTTGAATAGCTGCCTGGCCTGAGCGTTGGAATCCGTGCTATGAGAACATATCGGGGTGAGGGTGTGTGGTGGCATGCAATTCAAAATGAAGAGGAGTTCTTTTTCGGGCCCAACCCATCA